CAGCAATAAAAAGTTTGGGAATTGATATGTAACATAATTTTATTATCCGTCGAAAGTTTTCTCGTTTTTCCAGAGTGAGCGGTATATAAATGATTAGGGTAACTTTAACCTATTTTCCACCACTTTTATTTTGTTATAACATATGTACACTTTTAGGTTACATGTACCTCAACTAATTTCAGCAATAAAAAGTTTGGGAATTGATAAGGAAGATTATTTTATTACCCGTCGAAAGTTGAGTGAGTTCTACAGATTGAATGGTAAGTAAATGGTTAGGGGAACTTTAACCTATTTTCCACCACTTTTATTTTGTTATAACATATGTACACTTTTAGGTTACATGTACCTAAACTAATTTCAGCAATAAAAAGTTTGGGTATTGATAAGGAACATAATTTCATAACCCGTCGAAAGTTGACTGGATTTTTCAGAGTACGCGGTATGGAAATGGTTAGGAGAACTTTAACCTTTTTTCCACCACTTTTATTGTCTTATCACATATGTCCACCTTAAGGTTACATGTAATTTAACTAATTTCAGCAATAAAAAGTTTGGGAATTGTTAAGGAACATAATTGTATAACCCGTCGAAGGCTGACTGGATTTTTCAGCATAAGCGGTATGGAAGAGATTAGGGGAACTTTGACCTATTTTCCACCACTTTTTATTTTGTTATAACATATGTACACTTTTAGGTTATAATTTACATATTTACAATTAAAGCTTACATATAGACCTACCTCTATATATATGTATATAATTAATGTATATAATTAATATAATTATAATATATAATAATATAGTGTATATTGAGATTTTGAAATAAAAAATTTATTTATACTGAGTTTTTATAGTTACTTTTATATTTCAAACAGTAGCTTTAGATAGAAACGAGTTTATACATTATTTAGGTAATATATGTATATTGCGATAAAAGTAAATAACTATATAATTTTCCACTAGTATACTTTGTCGTAATACATATATTATTTAAGTATATTCACTACTTAATAAATAAGTATAGCGAATTAGTTTTGGTTTGGAAATCTGTAAATTATCCGTAGTAGGTAGTTGCATATGCGAGGTCTCTTTTTTGAACATCGACTGTACTACTCTAAGCTAGGCGGTATCTGATTGGTCGAGAGGGAGAAGAGGGGAAGTCGTTGTGGGAGGGGAAAAAATGTAGGGTCGACAGCTGGCGATAGCTGTCTTCACGGTCGTCCTACGCCAGGGTAATGCAAAGCCTAGCCAAGGCCTAAGTTATTTAAATGTTAGTTAGTTAGCCTAGCCTACACATTTAATTGGCTTAAGGACCATATTTAGTCTACGGCATAGACTTTTTTCCAAACAGATAATGGTTTACAGGCTATAGGTTTAAATGTGTCAAACCTACAGATTAGTAGGCCTTTATACAACTCACCCAAGGGTTTCTAATACAAAAGTTACACCGCTTGGTAACTTATTTTTAAGTGCCTTTTACCACACAGCCTAGACAGTTATATAATTATAAGATTTGTCCTTTTGCAATGTTTATGGGAAATGTCGGTACTGTAGTCCTAACTGTGTGACCCTACAGGGGTACAACAGTTTCTTAACTGGGCTACGCTAATATCGATTGGAACTATCGAATTGAAATCTTGATTAATAATCGATATCTTAAAATATAATGTCTATTATAAAATTAATCTGTCATAACCTAACCTAACTTGTTGATGGTGAAAAAATCGCAGTTTACTAATCGAATCGATAGTTTCAATCGTTATTAGTGTAGCCCAGTTAAGAAACTGTATCCTTGTTTTATTTGGACAACACTTGGAACAAAACACAACAAACACTTTTAAAGACTAGGCCTACAGTATAAAAACTAACTTTAACTTACAAGGGTGCACGGGGATGGCACGGTAGAACGCATAACAATAAACACTCTTTTATACACTTAAATCTTAAATCCGACTTCAAAACATATACGATACTTCGATAAAACCTCAAATTATTTAAAAAAAAAAACACAGCTTAAAGACTTTGAAAACTACAATCGCTGGGGCACGGCAGGGGCAGAGAGATGATGACAGAACGACAGAACGAGAACAGTAAACAACTCTTTTGCTTCAATTGTGTGAGAGTCGTTCATTTGAGATCAGCTCAATTTTACGGTTTGCGCATGCGCAGTAGGCTAGTCCAATTCCTGCCCTGAAACGCTCGCGATTTAACCTCTTCTTACTCTCTAAAATCTGGCAGCTAATCTCAATCTGCCATATTTCGAGACACTGAGGTAAACTGTCAACTCCGTTCTTGAGAGATTGAGATTGAGGTTATGTCTTGCTTAATCTTAGTGATTGCAAAGTACCTTAACTTAAGTAATTAACTAAAGTAAACTAAATAAAGTAATAAACTTAAGTATAAAAAATAAAATTTACTATGGATGTTTGTTTTAGGGTGTAGCTAATTAAAAGTTTAGGCATAGGCTGCACTTTACTTTAGGTCCTACACTCATCCTAAATACATTATTATTTGCTTTCTTCGTCTCTATTTCGGAACACATCACCTTATTTTAGTTTCCTTCATCTGGTTGTTTTATAATATTTTTAATTGTTTTTTATTTAGGTTAAAGCGGCTATTTGCCATTGCACTGAAAGCATATCGTAACAAATTAATTTGATCCCTTTATTAGGCGAATGGTATTCAAACAAACTATGATATTGTTTCTCTCTACCACAATCCTTAATAAATCATAGGTCTAATAACAATTAATTATCTTATAATAAGTTCAATTAGTATGCCTAGTCTATTTCAAACATTCCAACAAGAATAAAACCCTTGATTAAATAGTCTAGTATTGACACAGTAAATAAAATTAAAATGCGATTATTCTACAGAAAACAATCGCATAATTGGGTGCTAATACATTGACAACAAATACATAACCTCTAAATCGCAATTAGTAAATTAAAGCAATAACAAAACAATATGGCGTCGTCTCAAAAAGAGTAATTTTTTGCCGAAAGAGAGGAAGAAGAAAGTGCAGTCAACCTCCACTCAACAGCTCGATAGGTGTTGAGTAGTTTTGGTTGTATAAGTCCACCGTCAACCGTTTCAAAAATACGAAACGATTGGAAATAGAATGACTCGACACTCAACTCAACAGTCAACCATTTCAAAAATAGGGCCTCAGACGTGAAACTCAGGATGTATTGTTCCTTTACAAGATTTTAAGTGGACTTTACCTTTACCTTTACCTTTACCTGGACTGGTGGATTGCAGTGGACTGTTCGGCAGGATAAACTTCCACGTACCAAAGGCAACTAGATCCAGGGACCTCTTTAGTAGACAGCACTCCAGTACAAACTATGCGCAAAACTCCACTATGGTCCGCATCCAAAGACTAGGGAATGTAGTTGCACCACAAGTTGACTTCTTCAATTCTAGTCATAAGTCTTTCAAAGTCACTGTAAATGAGCTGTTGTGGAAATCCTAGTCACTGGAGACATGTATTTAGTAAATGTCAGTCGCTTTATCAATGTTTTTCTCTTTTGTTTTGTTCAACATTATTGCATGTATCACTATGGCTGTGTTATTAGGTAATGTCATTGTTGTCAATTCTCGATTATTTTGTCTGTCTTGTTATATGTATTTTGCAATCATCACTTTGTTAAATTTTCTAATTGTAGCCATTAAGCAACAATCTATCTTTTGTGTAGTTAAGCATGTACTATAACACTACATACATACTAATATCTATTGTAAAAATATGTGTTAGCCATCAAATTTTTCATATGTATTGTTTGGTTAGAATTTGTAGCAATTAGCATATTATTGTAAATGGTTGTTACCGTCAAATAAATAAATAAATAAATAAATTAAATAAAAAAAACTTGTTTAGCCGTTCTTTCATGTGGGGTTTTTAAGAAAACTATTGTTACTTCAAAAATGGAAGGATGCATGGTGAAGTTGTAAAGTTGTTTTTAAACACCCTGTATGAAAACAGGATTTTGAGTAACATTATATAAGTATGGTAATATGTATGGTCAGGGAAGTACAAATTTATTCAAATTTGCTTTACCTATTGCGATGTCTCTAAAAATGTTTAAATAGTTTTACTAATTTGATTTCACTCCATAATGCAATTTTTTTTCAATGAAGAAAGATGTATGATAGAATAAGATGTTTAGCTTTTTGATAATAAACAGATTTGTTGAACCTTAGTTTACAATATAAAAATATGTTTAATCTAATTTCCTTGATAATTATTTAACATTTTTACTAAAATGGCAACATAGTACAACAAGGATTGTTAAACGCCTGCCTTCTCTATTGTTTGATTTTTTTCCTGAGACATGTTTTTGTTCTGCCTTTGAGCCTTTGCCCGTCTGCAGTTCTGTTGTTCTGTTGTCGTCTGTTGCTTGTTGCTTGAGGTATTTACTCAGGGGAGGTATAGAAGAGGCTACGATGACAGCTGAGGGCTTCTTATTAGCTGAGGGAACGCCATTACCGTAACAAAACGTTCGATGTCCATCGGCCTCGGTGGTCCAATGGATAGCGTGCCGGGCTGGTATACTGTAGGTCCCGGGTTCGAGTCCCGCTGGTAGCCTTAACTTTTTGTCCAAGATTTTTTTATTATCAGCAAGTTTGGTTGGTTTGGTTTGGTTATTACAGTTTAATTTTATTATTAAGTCATTATAAAATTTTAATTGAGCAATTTCTAGTTTTATTTAATAAACAGAATTATTTTTCCGATTACTAAACTTTTGTTATATTATTTCTTTATCAGCAAGTTTGGTTAGTTCGGTTAGGTTATGATAGTTTAATTTTATAATTAAAAATAGTAAAATTGAATTTGAGGCATTTATAATTTTATTTTATGAACAGAAGTATTTTTGCGATTAGTAAACCTTTATTGCCAAAGTGCTCTCTACTACAGCGCTGTTCACGGAGGAATTTTGAACTAAATGCCTCATTTGTACCTCCCCTAAGTCAGACCCGTTGCTTGATTGCATGATTGCATGCGTTTGACATAGTGTTTAGGTTAAGTTTACAGTTTGCAAGTTAATTTTAAAAACAGTTTCTTTTTTATTTAAATTGGATTTAATAAAACAACAATGACGGCCAGAGAAATGAATAAAACAAAACTCTCCAAAGGCATTTTGGAGATGAAGGTAAGACTCACCACAAGTTAACCTAAAGTTCCTTAACTTTTGCTAAAACTGAAGTGCCTAATGAACTTACTCTATTATACAATATATCACTTTCTCTGATATTTACGCGTTGTAATTTCATGTAAAAAATCCCTACATCCAAGATTAAGCCTTTGGGTAAAGAAAAGCCAAAGTGAAAGCTAGCAATTGCAGCCTGTTTTGAGCTAGGCTAGGCCTATCCTACTAGTTGACTAGAGGGATGAGCATTAATAGTCGATGTTTTTGGCCAAGTATTGAAATATCGATGTTTTCTATGACTGAATTGTGCTGTTGCAGTACAGAGAGCAGACAAAAATCTATAAACATCAATGTTTTAGCCGGGGTAGGGATATGAATGCTTGATCCATAGAGGCAATTGTCCTCATCCAAGAAATATAACCTAAGTTAAGGGTTTTTGTCCAACTAGGCTATTAAGGTCCTAACTTACATTTTAAGTTTCATAGACTCGACCATCTAGTTTTTTTCACACAATGACACAAGGGCAATACTTTATGTCAATCAGTGTTGATGTGGAAGATATAGACTGTCTTTAGTAGGCCTATCCTTTACATTACTGGTAATAGGCTATCTAACCAAATGGAGAGTAAAATAGTAATGGCTCCTAACATTTACATGGATTTTACTGCATGAAACCACAATATCGTACATCTCTGATAATTTGTTTTGGTGTAGGCTTACACTCGAGATAGGCCTATATTTTTAGGGTTCCAGTATAGAACTAGAAATTTTAGGAAAGCGGTCCAAGACCCTCATATTTTTGTGGATATTAAAATACACACACACTTTATTCCCAAATCCAAGAATGCTAAACAATAAGCTAAGCCACACTTTATTTTGATAGCTTTAATACAGGTAAGAAACCTTTCAGTTAACTGACCAAACATAAAAGTGAAATACGTATCGTAACTTTAAGTTAACTAGGTGGCGTTCGCAGAGGCATCCACAAAATTGAGCGGAGTCATCAAGGGTTCATATTATTATTGTTTTTGTCATACTGCAGTAAAAACAGTAGTTTTTAATGCATGCATTGCGAGTCTAAAGTAGCATTTTTAATATTTAGAGAGTAAAAATAGTTTTTAGCCACTATGGAGTAAAAACCAGCTGTTGTCAACTCAGTTGTAAATTTCGATTGTAAACGATTGCATGTATCGAAAAAATGTATCGATTCGTGCTTTGTGATCATTCTACAGTCTACAGTCTCTTCCCGTAGCATTTTAGCATTGCAGATACATTAATCCATTACCAAACTCAACACTGCTCACCTTTACTACTTCCTTCACCCCACCCTACGTCGTGGACCTGTTTCCCTCTCTTCCCATAGCATTTTAGGATTGCACATACATTAATGTAATTGCCAAAGACAGTTCCCACACTCTGCACTGTTAGCCTTACTACTTACTTCACCATTTAATACGTCATAGACCTGTTTCCTTCCTTTCTCATAGCATTTAAGTATTACAGATTAATTTATCTATCTGCCCAAACGGTTCCCCCACTCTGCACTGCCAGCCTTTACTAACTTCCTTCACCACTTCCTACGTCGTGGGGCCTGTTTCCTTCCCTTCTCATAGCATTTTAGTATTGAAGATACATTAATCTAACTGCCACAGACGGATCTCACACTATGCTGATGCTCATACTGTACTACTTCCTACGTCGTGGACCTGTATTCATCACTTTCCATAGCATTTTAGTATTTTAGATGCGATAATCTAATTGCCACAAACATTCTCACACTCCGTACTGCTAGCCTTTACTACTTATTTCACCATTTCCCATGTCGTGGGCATGCTTCCATCCCTTTTCATGGCATTTCAGCATTGCAGATACATTAAAACAGCAACAAAAGGTTTCCAGCTCCCACACTCCACACTGCTCACCTTACTACTTCTTTCACCTCTTCCTACGTCGCGGATCTGTTTCCCTCTCTTCCCATAACATTTTAAGGTTGTAGATACCTAAATCTAATCGTCATAAACAGATCCCACACTCCAAACAACTCGCCTTCACCACTTCCTACATCGCGGACCTGTTTCCCTTCCTTTCCGTAGTATTTTAGGATTGCAGATACCTTAATCTAATCTTCATAAACAGTTCCCACACACCGGACAGCTCGCTTTGACTACTTCCTTCACCACTTCCTGCGTCACGAACCTGTTTCCCTCCCTTCCCATATCACCATAAGATTGCAAATACCTTAATCTAATGGTCAAAAAACAGATCCCGCACCCCGAAAAGCTCGCCTTTACTACTTCCTTCGCCACTTCCTACGTCGCGGACCTGTTTCTTTCCCTTCTATAGCATTTTAGAATTGCAGATACCTTAATCTAATCGTCATAAACAGTTCCCACACTCCAGACTGCTTGCCTTTACTACTTCCTTCACCACTTTCTACGTTAAGGACCTGTTTTCCTCCCTTCCCATAGAATTTTAGGAATGCAGATACCTTAATCTAATCGTCATAAACAGTTTCCACACTCCAGACTGCTTGCCTTTACTACTTCCTTCATCACTTTCTACGTCACGGACCTGTTTTCCTCCCTTCCCATAGAATTTTAGGATTTCAGATGCCTTAATATAATCGTCATAAACAGTTTCCAAACTCCAGACTGCTCGCCTTTACAACTTCCTTCACCACTTTTACGTCGCGGACCTGTTTTCCTCCCTTGCCATTTAATTTTAGTAATGCAAATACCTTAATCTAATCGTCATTAACAGTTTTCACACTCCTGACTGCTCGCCTTTACTACTTCCTTCACCACTTCCTACGTCGCGGACCTGTTTTCCTCCCTTCCCATAGAATTTTAGAAATGCAGATACCTTAATCTAATCGATTTAATCGTCATAAACAGTTTCCACATTCCAGACTGATCACCTTTACTACTTCCTTCACCACTTCATACGTCACGGACTTCAAGCTAGTGTCGTCATTTGATTATATTTATGATCCACCGTTTCTGTTCTAATATCTGTGGAATAATGCTAACAGCTATTTCTTTATCTACTGCATTTAAACGTCAACAGCTGATCATATGTCTTTGTTTATGTGTCAAATACTGCTTCCATAAGGATTACATTAAAACTTTGAGACCCAGTGGGGCAGATTCCTGAGAGACTTTTTTAACACAATATAGATGTTGGCACTCACCGATATGGTATTTATCACCATGCAAAATTTGAAAACGATCGATTCAGCCGTCTAGGAGGAGTTTGCGTATTACGAAATGCATAAGAGTCGACGTATAAGAGCTTCGCTCGCTCCGCTCAATTAGGTATGTGATTTTATTTTTCATACAGGATTCGTTACCGGTAGGCTAGTCTTAAAATCCATGAGAAATATGTTGGCTGAATTTATTCTTCAATAAGGTTAACATCTTGGGCTTTAGCCTGAATAATATTAAAAAATGTCAGGTAGGCGGATTCCATTTAGAATTCCTAAGTATTTCTATTCACTTGTAGCTTTTTGTGTGCTGTAGTTAACTTATTATGTTTTTATTTGGTAATTTCAGTTCATGAAGAGAACCAAAGACAAGGTCATAAAAGAACTTCAAGATGAGGAAGGAAGACTAATGTTTGGAAATCAAATAACAGAAGGCATGAGAGCTGGAATGTAAGTAAGCCGATGAATGTTAGACACTATTAATAATCATACTTGGTCATGAAATAAATGTGGTACTAGCCAGACTTACACTGAGTAGAGATAAGACGGAGCATTCAAACAAATAGTTTTTACTTAATATTGTGCCTGAATAGTTGACAAACTATCTTACGAAAAGTGTGGGCTTTTTAACCAATAATAGCAATTAAAACAGAACTATATAAGAAGCGAAACCGTTATATTAAAAGAAGCGACGCTACGAAGATTGCCGCTAGCGGTAGTTCACAAAGACTTGGCTGGAAACGCTAGCGCTTCCTACATGAATTTTTGTGAGCTGCCGCTGGCGGCAATCTTCGTAGCGTCGCCTATTTTAATATGGCGGTTTCGCTTCTTATAAGGTTTTGTATTCATTGATAATAGTCAGGATGGTAGCAGAGACTGTAGATTCAAGTTTTGTAAGATGTTCTTTAAACTGCAAATAATTAAAAACAATTAATTGTAAAATTGAATAATTTGTATAGCCTACCTGGAATTAAAAGATAAAATTAATAACTTTTGAACATTTTATTACATTTTAACATATCACAAACGGATCAATGTAATTTAGCATTCCAGAAACCTGTAATTGTGAATCAACTATGTCTACTACACATTTTTCTTGGGCCTTGAGCAAAAGAGAAAATAGCTTATTCCCTATATGGGACATTCGCTAAAAGGTAGTTAGGTACATTCAAGTGGTGTCTAGCACTAGTAGCTGGAGCAAAGTCCAACACCCCCCTCCCCATCATGTACTAACTTACAACGCTCACGGTGGGGGAACACACTGTGCCCTGTGCGATAGGAATTTTTGCACAGTGCTCACCGCTCGAGCTCTTCCTTGCTAGTCTCAAGTATGTTTCCGATCTCATGATGGGTTAGCCTCTGGATCGTAAATTGCAATATAAAAATGGTTTATTTTACCTTTTTGCGTCGAACGATCCGTGTGTAGTTAGTACAACTACAGCTGTTTCATACCACTAGGGTACATCATCAGGTTGTTGGCAGAACGTTAGATAAAACAGCATTCATTAATAGATGAACTTGTCGAAATGAATATGTCTATATACACATAATACACGAAAAACATTTAAAAAACACGAATTTACGAACTTGGCCAAGTAACGAACACACGAGACAGGCGCCGATGGATGTTGCGTCATGACTGCTGTCGTGTGTCCAAGCATCAGCTGTTACCCCTCCCCACCAACTCCTTTATCAGGACCAGTTTTGTTTTGGTTTAAATGAATGGCAGTATTGTAGATGATATTAGATCTGAATGAAATTTGTTCGTTCAATATATGGTCAGGGTGTTCTTTGGATGCCTTGTATATTTCGAACTCCTCTATTGTGTCCATGTATCTGCCTTTAGTACATAAATGCATAATTTCTAGATTACTATGTATGTCCGTGTAGTTGTGGTTTGCGTTAATTATGTGGTTGGCGAATGCTGATTTCGAGTTCTTTTTGGGTAGGTGTTCTTTAAACCTAGTAGCGAAAGAGCGAGCAGTTTGGCCGATGTAAAAGCTCGGGCAATCGTTACATGTCATTTTGTAAATACCTGTGCTGTTTACTTTATCAGAATGTGTTTTATTTTTTTCCTTAAGCATAGTAGATAATTTGTTTGATGTTTTGTATGCAACGTGTACATCGTTCTTTGCCATTTCTTTTCTCAAGGTGTTATTGAGTACTACTCCAAATTCAGCACATACATACTTTTTGTTTCTGGGTTCTAGAATCTCTTTTGTTTTATTTTTCTATTTTCTGATAAGTTTATCAATGAGAGAGCTTTCATATCCATTGGCAACGGCAATGTGCTTCAAAATGTTTATTTCATTGTTGTAGTTTTCTGTGGTAAGGGGTATGGATAATAGTCTGTGAACGAAACTATTGTAAGCAGCTGTCTTGTGGTTGAAAGGATGGTGTGATGACGAATGGATGGTCTGGTCAGTTGTTGTTGGTTTTCTGTAGATTTTGAATTCCATGATGTGATCAGTTCTTGTTATTGTTACGTCTAAGAAATTAATTGATTTGTTAGCTTCGGTTTCGAGGGTGAATTTTAGTTTATGGTGGACATTGTTCAAATAATTTCCAAGTATCTTTATCTGCCTTTCATTACCATTGAATAAGATTAATGTGTCATCCACATATCGGCTGTAGTGAACTATTTTATCTTTTTGTTTGTTGGAATCTGACCATAGAAATTTATTTTCTATATTGTTTAGAAACAGTTCTGAAAGGACGCTTGAAAGTGGAGAGCCCATAGCTAAACCTTCGTTTTGTGTGTAGTATTTATTTTCAAACGTGAAATAGTTTTGTTTGAGGACTATTTTAGTGAGATTAACTAACTCATTTTTAGCCTCGGTTGATAAGGAGGAGTTTTTATCTAGATTAGATTCAAGTATGTCGATGGTTTCATCAATGGGTACGTTTGTGAATAAATTCACTACGTCAAATGAGGCTAAAGTATAAGAACCCTTTAGTTTAATTTTACAGAGTTGGTTTACTACATCAACTGTGTTCTTAACACTATGGTCGTTATCTAAGGCGGTCTCTTTCCTAATTATTTTGTCAAGTTTTTGAGCAATTTTATAGGCTGGTGAGGGTCTGAAATTTACTAGTGGTCTGATGGGCGTGTCAGGTTTGTGGATCTTCGGTAGTCCTCTAAGGATGGGAGCCTGGGGTCTAGTAACTTTGCATTGCTTTATTTCATCTTTAGACAAAAGATTTGTTGACGAGGATATCAATTTATTTATTTCTTTGGAGTAGGTAGCAGTAGGGTCACAGTTTAATGTGTCAATGTTATTGGCTGTGATGAATTCACAAATTTTGTTTACGTATTCAGTTTTACTGAGGATAACAATGCAGTTTCCCTTATCAGCTTTTGTGATAACGGCATTGTTTTGTTCTAACTTGTCCCTAATGTTGGCAGCGACTTGTTTTAAAGGTTTATATTTTGTCAAGTATGATTTTCTAATGTTTGGATTTAAGACAGCTTTTTTCATTTTGTTTGTGATCATTACTCTTGCCGTATCACGTGCGTCATTGTTGTTTAAATATTTTACAGCTGTTTCTGCATTTAGTAGTTCTGATATCAAGCTATTTTTCTTATCATTGGGAAAATTATAATTTAATCCTTTGTTCAAAAGATTGGTTTCTTGTTCAGAGAACTCTATGTTCGTTTTATTTATAAATCTTGGATGAAATACGTGACTACAATTTACTGTATCTTTATTCAACTGTGATTTTACTAATGAATCAATCTTTTTGGTTTGGGATTTCATTTTTAGAAAAATTTTTCTATTGATTTGAGAATCCAATTCTGATAACACATTCTTGGTTTGTGAAGGGTGAAGGCTGCTTAAAAGTTCTAAATGTGTGTTCATTAATAACTTGTTCAACATGCATTTTTTGGCATGCAACGACTTGATTTCATGTTTAATCCAAGTAGTTTCAGCAACTTTTTTGGCTTTTTTAGCAGCTTTGGAGACGTTGTTAATTTTAACTGATACATATTTAGGGACTAATCCATATTCAATGCATTTTTTATTAAATTTTATGTTTTCTATGGTTTTGAAAAGTTTTATCTTAACGTTCTTGTATTTGTAGGCTAATTGAACTTGACAAGTTTCCAATTTCATGATGGGTTAGCCTCTGGATCGTAAATTGCAATATAAAAATGGTTTATTTTACCTTTTTGCGTCGAACGATCCGTGTGTAGTTAGTACAACTACAGCTGTTTCATACCACTAGGGTACATCATCAGGTTGTTGGCAGAACGTTAGATAAAACAGCATTCATTAATAGATGAACTTGTCGAAATGAATATGTCTATATACACATAATACACGAAAAACATTTAAAAAACACGAATTTACGAACTTGGCCAAGTAACGAACACACGAGACAGGCGCCGATGGATGTTGCGTCATGACTGCTGTCGTGTGTCCAAGCATCAGCTGTTACCCCTCCCCCCCAACTCCTTTATCAGGACCAGTTTTGTTTTGGTTTAAATGAATGGCAGTATTGTAGATGATATTAGATCTGAATGAAATTTGTTCGTTCAATATATGGTCAGGGTGTTCTTTGGATGCCTTGTAACATAATTAACGCAAACCACAACTACACGGACATACATAGTAATCTAGAAATTATGCATTTATGTACTAAAGGCAGATACATGGACACAATAGAGGAGTTCGAAATATACAAGGCATCCAAAGAACACCCTGACCATATATTGAACGAACAAATTTCATTCAGATCTAATATCATCTACAATACTGCCATTCATTTAAACCAAAACAAAACTGGTCCTGATAAAGGAGTTGGGGGGGAGGGGTAACAGCTGATGCTTGGACACACGACAGCAGTCATGACGCAAAATCCATCGGCGCCTGTCTCGTGTGTTCGTTACTTGGCCAAGTTCGTAAATTTGTGTTTTTTAAATGTTTTTCGTGTATTATGTGTATATAGACATATTCATTTCGACAAGTTCATCTATTAATGAATGCTGTTTTATCTAACGTTCTGCCAACAACCTGATGATGTACCCTAGTGGTATGAAACAGTTGTAGTTGTACTAACTACACACGGATCGTTCGACGCAAAAAGGTAAAATAAACCATTTTTATATGTTTCCGATCGTCCCAAAAGCATGTTTCCTGTGTACCTTACTTCTCTGTTCTTGAGCTTAATGAATGATTCATTTATTGATGCTTTGATCCTCTTTCTATCAAAAAGTCGTTTGCCTCACGTATTTTGATAGCGATAGATGAATCATTGTCAAAGTTATCACTTTGGGATGGGATTGCTCACCTGCCTACTTTGTCAGGTGGTAAAACACAATTCAAGTTGTATGGAGTAGCCTATAGGAGATGAGCCATAATGTGTGATAACGTCACTGCAAACCCAACAGCAGCAGCCATTTTGTCGCATGACACATGCCGAGAAAAGCAACAATTGCAAATTTTACACGAGAAACTAATGACAACAAAACCACATCTCAACATACCTCACAAGGCAAGACGACAGCCGCCACATGGTATGCAGTGACATACCGTACACATGAGCAGTCCAAACCCAAACTCTCATACCTCAGACAAAACTCATATCACACCTTTAAGGGACACTAAATAAAATATGTGTTTAGCACTTGTGCCATTTTAAAGTTGTGGCCAAAAGGTAATCCCTTCAGTAACTTAAATTATTGCTTTAGTTAGGTTGATGCTCCATCCCATCACACGAACACTCATTCCTGATTCGGAGACGAATGTGAGGGACGAAATACCTGGATTTATACCTCACAGATTGCTTGGAACATATTCTAAAATACCGACTGTTTTTTTCTTACAGGAGCAATTATATTTTGGAACCAAGTTTTATCCCTTGCGAGGATTTAATCGATGGCAGATTATCGTTTCGAGGAATGAATCCAGAAATAGAGAGACTTATGGAACTGGAAGAATTAGCCAAGAGAAAACCAGTGGATAGATCCATGGCTACGGATGTCAGCGACGTCGAAATGGCCAAGTTTAAGGAATCTTTAGTGGAGACAGTTGCAAGTAAATACAAGACAAAGAAGATCCGAGGTGTTAACTCCTCACAAATGTCTTCTGCCTCAAATAAACAAGAAGAACCGCCCAGGAAAAGAGCAAGGTTCCTCAAACCTAAGGACGAATAGCATGCATCTATCTTCTTGCACTGGTTAGTCTTAAGGAATTGTACATATAATATTTAAACAAATGAAAAATGCCTGACTTACTTTGGTTGTGTTTTCCTTTTCTACCTCAAACAATCTATATATTAATAGGCAAGCAATCCTTTTATAAACTAAAATATGCTCAAAAATAAGCACAAAAAATTAATTTAAAATTAAAAAAAATTAACGTGGACCTTATGGGTTGCCGAAATAACAACGAAATATAAATTGAAAATCAAAACAAATAGAAGAAATTCCAATCACTTGTTTATTTACAGCTTGGGGTGAATATAGAGAAGTCTGTACATTACATATTTTTGGTAGAGTTTTCGACCACTGGACGACCTCTAGTTATATAAATAGTTCAATCATAAAGCCTCACTTGATCATGCTTTAACATAGACTAACCAACACAAGTAGACTTCTCATTACATTGTAAATTTTGAAGCACGTTTTTCGTGTCTAGTTCATGTACGTGACACTGGGCGCTAGTGTCGACGAAACTTTGTTTCTATTATTTTAGGGTTAATTTCTTGATTTGTGCTTTACTGTTTGGTTATGTAACTAGGGGACAAGTTATTGTTTATGATTATATCGTATTATTTGGTTAAACGAGGTTTTAAATGGCTGTAATAACGGGAAACAAATTGTAAACAAAACACGACCTCTACATAAACCGTACAGAACTAACAATAAAATTGTCTTCAGCTGTTCCATAAGGATGAGAAATCTACTAAGGGAGTATGTTTTATCTATGGCTTTAATTAATACTACCTATATCTTTTTTGTACGGTGTGCCAATATGTTGTTCATTAAATTACACTACCTACTAAACAAAATTGTACCATGTTTTATTTGTTTAGGAATGCTTCTATAACAGTGTTGTATTCTACTAAACACTTAAAACATTCACATTAAAAACTGGGCGATAATAACCATCAATCTCATTTTTGACCAAATATTTTAGTGTGAATAAGAAATTTGGTCTTTGTAAAAAAAATGTGTTGTCACTGTTGTGTGGTGTAAGACCATTAAGAAACTGATTACAAAAAAAACTTAGCATCATGTTTGGGCGTATTATAATGAATATGGTCAGAGGTGAATCAGAAAGAATCTTCATCTTCAAGGAATCAAACATTAACCTGAGCATAAAAAAGTGATGCAAAATCTGAGGAAATCAGAGGGCAAATGGCTGGTGATACCGAAGAAATAAGAATTTCAGTGATTACATGAGTAAAATAATGCAGAGAAATTAATCATCCTGCTACTTTAGGACAGATGATTCAGGTAAATAAAATGTAGCCATGTAATAATTGTATAATATATTATATACATAATTTGTACATAATGCTTTCCCTGATTTTTAACGTCCTTGGTGCATGATGAGTTTTTCTATTTAATTATTTTCTGTGTAAATAGGTAAAAGAAAAACAGGTTAAAAATGCACATATTTGCAACAGTAAAATGATAAAGTTTAGTTCGGGTTTTCTTTGCTGCCGAATACAGTTGCGTTTTTGGCACCAACTGAATGTTCAAGGGCGTACGTTCTATAATTGTACTTGTCAAGGGCTGTTCTTATCAAGCTTTCCTCATTTCCTAATACTCGCACAATATTTACAATCCCGAAGCCGTATTCAACTTACTAGGAAAACCTGTCTTTACGAAAGAAAACTTGAGATTCAAACCGTTCAGTATATGCATCGTCAACTACTGGTACTGAGATGCTCGGACAATCTTCTTTAAATGCTTGATGTATTTCAGTTAATCTGAAAAATAAAAATATTAGGTACATTAATTTTTTTAGTTTATAAATCACAGTTTTATACATATTTTGACATTAAAATATTTCACTTCAAATGAATAATGAATGATTTTATTTCCATCAAAAAATTACAAAGTAAAAACAATTTTAATATTGGAAATATAACTGACCACTTTATCAAGTTGTGTGGTCAGTAAAATTATTGATAATCTAAAAATAAACATTAAATCAGCCTAGCTCAACATAAAAATGACAACCTGCTCTCTGTGATGTTTGACAATCCTTTTCTTAATAAAGCTTAATACTTTAAACTAAAAAATCAAAGGAAAAATACTATAATTTAAATTCGTAAATGGGAGTTTATGAAAAATTCCATGTTTTCTTTCTATTGATTAGCAGGTTAATTTAAAAGTAATTTTTACAGATTTCTTAGAAAAGTTCGGCTATTGACATGGTTTTGAAGGTAAGGCAGACATTTCGTTCCATAAAGTAGGTACCTACAATTCATTGAAAAAAAATTCAAACGTGATATTGTGTACTTACAGATAATACTTCCATTATTCTTCAAAGAATGTGTGTCGACAAGCCCAAACGAGCACAAACAAGCAAGAGCAGCACTGTGTTCTGCTGACCTTTTGTTTTTCTCCCTGAAAAAATTTAGTGTGAATGGTAGCTGCATTGAATTTGTTAAGACTTCCGACAAAAGAAATATCAACAATTTAATATTTTGTAGTTTGGCTGTTATCAACAGAGCTTAAGAAACCTACAATCCTTTTGAACTTTCAGTGATTATTTATTAATTTCCTATATGCAGTGTCCTATTTCTCCAGTGTCCTTCTGCAGTCCTATTTCTTCAGATTGGAATAGCTTTAGAAAGATCCTCTATCCTTTTGAAATCCCTACAATAAAATGCTTTGGAAACCTTGATAAATTGACAACCCTTTTATGAATGTTATTCAAAACTTATACACAAATAGTAACACTAACCAGCATGAGGAGGAGTATTTCTTCCTGTCCACGGTCACAATAGATTGAAATTGACGCTCAAACTGGATAGTATCGTACACCGGCTGACCCAGGCGTTTCCTACGAGTCCACAGTAGCAGCCTAGCCTTTGGTAAGTCTGTGTCGTCTGCGTACAGGTTACGTTGGAAGATGCAGGGTACTTGCACTATATCATCGTCTAGTTTCCTCTTCTTTGGTCCCAGAGCTTGCATCTCCCTCCGACCTATCAGACCTCGCTCCCTCAGATCCCTTTCTTTTTGACGACAGTAATCGGCAATGTTCCACAAAGCGCTGTAACAAAGTTTGGTTATAAGATTTGTATTATTATATAGGCCTAGTATAAACTAAACTTTGTTTTTTTTATATATGGGTAAAGCACGCTTACCTTCTGATCTTTGCTCAATACATCTATGGTTTCAAATATTAATATAAGATATAGAAAAGAGTGGTAGGCCTACTAAAAATGTACTTGCTTAGTTAGAGTAAGTTGACAATTAGCCTATTCATTTTAAAATTATTTTTATCTATTTTGTGTGTTTTACACCCTTGGCATTAGGTATTAGTAAAATGTTACTAAATTGAATTCATCAACAAATTATCAATTAATTTAGACAGCAGATCGTAAAACCTAAGCCTTCAGGTCATGACCGCGTCATTAAATAAGTAGGAGCTGAAGTTTTAAATATAGCAGTTTGCCCGAAGATAGTCTAGTCTTACTCATCCAACAATGGTCATCACCCAAAGACCTAGACTTGAAAATCATCGATTATGTTTCCTATGAAAGTTTTAGTTCACTAAAAAAACACTGCTCTCATAGCAAAAACAACACATCTCACCAAATCTGTTCGTTTGTTTGCGTCTCATGAAATGTTCGGCCAAACTCAGAGTCTTGTCGGTCTCGCAGCATGTTCTGTACGCAGTACTTGGTGTTGCCATCTGCGTTGTCGTAATCTACTGCATACCGCAGATAGGACGAGATTACTGTGTCGATTGGCAGTCGTCCCTCCTTGCGGAATATGGAGCAGTCCCATTCCGCAGCTCTTGCCACCATCACACTGCTTGCGTTACAATCCTTGCGGAACCGTTCCAAGTCTGTGTACTTCTCAATCTCTTTTGAGCCACCACTGGAAAAGCAGGTATGGGTATGAGAATGGAGTAAAAGTGATAAATTGTAGAGGAAAGAATGTTGACGGTGTGAGCACTGCTAATATTGCAAGCACTATCTTTTGATGCATGTCTGCAGCCTTTGGTTGAATTCAATACTCACTCTGCTCTTAATAAATTTCTATTTGCAACAATAAATATGTGGGAGGTTTTTAATGAATTCTTTCTAACAACTCTTGTTAGAATATATTATTAAGTTATCACCAAACTTTCAATCAGTAGTAGGGCCTATCAATGTATTACGGTAATTAAATGAATTGTCAGTAGCAATTTCAACTGAATATTCATAGTAGGCCCTACCATAGCCTAAAGATTTTATTATTTTTAACAAATTATTTAAGCAACATATTTTTGAAGGGTAAGATTTTTGTATTTCAGTCAAAAGGCCAATGATTTCTTTAGGCTTGGTTTTGGAAACTTACTTCCTTTCAACTAGTGGTGACAAAAGGTAATATTGTTACAGACGGTTTATTTTGTACGTACTTGGCAATCACAGGAATTGTCAAAGCCTTTGCGACAGCTCTGATGCGGTCGTTGTGGTTGTCATGTTGTGGCCTCTCGTCTCTTGTTCTCCCGTGAACTGCTATAGCACTAATTCCTGTGGCTTCCATTGCTTTGCCAAACTCGACAGTGTCTTCTGCAGTTTCAAAAACTCGTATTTTGCAACTGACTGGTATCTCCAGACCGTTTACCAGTTTTGTCAGAATACCTTGAGCTTTATCTCGTTGTTTCAGAAGAGCAGCGCCCATTCCCCCTTTCACGGAGAATTCTTTGGGGCAACCCATATTGATGTCAATCCCAGCAACATCTTTCTCCCTACAAAAAATGTAGGCCTAAATTATAAATGATTATTTAAACATGTTGAACAATTTGTTTACAGATAAACTCATTACAACTTAAATGTTGGTTCAGTTGAATTTAGAGGTGACCTCTATATTCTACAACAAATGTTAAACGTTGCCAAGCCTACAATAACTAGTTGTTCTGTCTGTGCTTCCCAACGGGGCAAGAATATTTATAAGAGAATATAATGTGGGTCACTAAATCTACTGTAAAGAAAAACAGTTAATTATCATGCCAGTTATACCTGGTGAATCTCAATCATACTTATTGCTTATTTTA